TCTATTTAACCTGAACTCTTGGGCAGAGAAGGCTAAAAACCTTGTAAAACTATAAATCCCTGGGTTCCATAGGATGGAGTCAAACTGCATTATTTCTACAGTGAAGACGCACCCAAGGGAGAGTCAGTCATTAAAGGCCAAGGTTTTTCTGTTCTCTATAAAGGCCACAACCAGCCTTTTGGAACAATTATTTGTTTGAAATAAACAGTCTCTAGGAGACACTCCATTTTAAAAGAAACCAAGTTTATTCAGCATTATCCAACTGAGTGCTTTCATACAACTATTTTTTTTTAAAAGGATCATTTTTAAAAAGGATCTCCTATTCAAGCATTCTTATTGTTCATATTAGAAATAATGGCATTTTTTTATTAGCAGGAGTTGGCTACAATGGTCTAATCTGCACTGCAGAATTAATGCAGTTTGACACTGCTTTAACAGCCGTGGCTCAATGCTATGATATTCCAGGATTTGTAGATTTGTGAGTTATTTAGCTTTCTGGCGTCACAACAACAGATTCAATGATTCTGTAGCATTAAGCCATGTCTGTCAAAGTGGTATCAAACTGCATTAATTCTACAGTGCAGATTATAACCGCGTGTCTTATCAAACAGCCAGGTATGTCAACTGCACCTTGACAAAGAGAGAAAATGTCTAACCTGATGAAAATCTGCAATAAGATCTGGTCTGTTTCTATCACCAATTTAACCGTTTCCTTTTAATCATGCTTGAACCTGAGATCGGTGCATTTTTTATGGTTACAGGAGGCCAGGGTTCAAACCCACTGCTGAGCCATAAAACCCGTTGGGTGACCTTGGGCAAGTCACACACTCTCAGCCTCAGAGGATAGCAGTGGCAAACCCTTTCTGAAGAAATTTGGCAAGGAAATCCTGGGGTAGGTTTCTCCATAAATGGGAAATGACTTGAAGGCACACAACAGCAACAACAATGGAAAGGTGGGGTTGTGAATGCAGATTAAACTTGCTTTCCATAGATCCATAGAGTAGGAAGAGACCACAAGGGCCATCCAGTCTTTTGGTTGAAAGTGTGTGTCTTTCGGTGAAAAGCACAGCCATGGCAGAAAACCCACCTTTTTCCTCCTTGCCATGAGAAAAGCAGATAAAATTCGGATTAAATTGATGGAGATGACAGAGGAAAACGATGCCCCCCCC